AAACTCAAAGCTGTTGTTTGATTTATTCTTGTATTTTATAAAATCTCAAGCCATTAATCCTTAATGGCCTTTACTCAAAAGTATGGTAGATAAATTTTCATCACTAAGTTTGCTTGAGTAGTTCAGTATCAGAGGAACAGGTTTTGAATTAGAATTAGCAGATCTGGATAAATTTAGGAAAAACCCAAAATTGTTAGCTTTCTCTTTTTTCAACACAGCATAATCACCTTCTGCTATTAGGATCAGAAACTAAGAAAAAAGAAAAAATCCAAAGATCACCAAAATAAAAATATTAGCTCATTAGTTCATATTTGGTAGAAAGCAAACATTATCTTCCGTCAACTATAATTTCCAATTACATGGAATAAATTTCTCCCTAGCAACGCCTGAGAAGATGCTCATCATCATAGCACAGCCTACACCCAGGTGAGTTCAGGTCATCAGTTTGTGAAGGGGTTAAAAATCATGTTAATTGGTATGAACACAAGTGTACAGACACTACATCCTATTCTGACAGTATGATTTACAGCTGCTCTGCCATATCCTCACAAGTTTGGTAAATTTATGGTAGTTTACCCGTTCGCCTTCACTGAGGACTAAGTCTTCTCATATTATGCACATGAGCTATTACCATGGTACGCAGCATTTCAGAAGTTCTCCTCCCAACCTAACCTCGTGGCAACTTGTTTGTTGCAGCGGGCCTGAAGACAACAGCAAATTCACTCCAATGAATCAGGGAGGAACTAATCATGCTTTCAAGTACCTGTATTTTATTTAAAATAAAAGCACAGCAGGCTCATTTAAACACAGCTGGCACAGTGCTCTCTTCTCCAGGCCTTACCTCAGCATTCATGTTTCCATAGTCTCAGACAACACTAGTAAGGACTCTCACCATTATCTTCTGACCTTTCCTTTTTTTTTTTGTCTTTGTAAATTAATCAGTAACCAGAGACTTCTGCCAACAGTTTGTACTACTGATTTCAAGGTCCTGTGGCACACAAAGCATTACGTGATTCTGTATGTGGTTAAAAACATTAGCCATT